TATTTTTGTGTGAGTGTACCGTCAAATCAGATCTGACTGGTACAGGAGGAGATTGTCCCTCCTTCCCCGGCAGAGCATCTGGTGGATTCGAACCGTGTGCCTCTGGGATTGAATAAATTTTTTTTAAGAAAACAAAACAACCTAGACCAAAAAACAGTTGTCTGAACAGAGCAAGGGAAGACTGGCATGGATTAAAATCAGGAAAGATACCTATAACCCAAGAGGATAAAACAAATGAATGGGATCTTCTAAGAATCAAATCCTTATGCCCATCAAAACTTCAACAGGGTAAAAAGGAAAGCCACAGACTGGGAATGAATATTTTGGTAATGACATGTCTGATAAGGGACTTATATCTAGAATTTATAGAATACTTGAGTACCACAAGATAAACAACCCAATTGCAAAATGGGCACAGGATATGAACAGGCACTTTACCAACAAAGACATTCAGATGGCAAACAAGCACATGAGGAAATGTTCAAAATGCCTAGCTCTAAGGAAAGATGCAAATCACAACTATATTATCTCACCCCAGTAAGAATATAAAAATTCAACAGAACAGCAAACAATAAATGCTGGTAAGGTTGTGGAGAAACTGGAACCCTTATTCACTGTTGGTGGGAGTGTAAAATGGTGCAACCACTATGGAAGGCAGTATAACGCTTTCTCAAGAAGTTGGAAATAGGCGAGCTCTGGTGGCCTAGTGGCAGGAAACTACACTGCAATCCCAGAGGTGTGCAGTTCAAATCCACCAGATGCTCTGCTGAAGAAGGAGGAACAATCGCCTCCTGTACCAGTCAGATCCAATTTGATGGTACACACACATAAAAAAAAAAAAGTTGGAAATAGAAATACCATTTGATTCAGCATTTCCACTACTAGGAATATACCTTAAAGAAACCAGAACTGTCATCCAAGCAGATATATGCACACCCATGTTTACTGCTGTATTGTTCACAATAGCAAAAAGATGGAAACAACTCAAATGCCCATCAACAAATGAATGGATAGAGAAGCTGTGGTATATTCACACAATGGAATACTATGCAGCATTGAAAAAGCAAGGAACTCATAAAATATTATACAATATGGGTGACCCTGGAGGACATTATGCTGAGTGAAATATGTCAGTCACAAAAGACAAATACTGCATAATGCCACTGTTATAAAACAGTACTGACATTAGGGTGGGCGGAGAACTAAGGAAAGAACTGCTTAAAAGGAATATATGATTAGGTATAATTTGCATGACAACAGTCCAGGATAAGAGCTGCATGGTAAAGTGGATTGGGGTGGGATGGGAGAACTGTACAGTGAAAGAATTTTTTTTTTTCAAAGAGAAAAGTGAACTGGGGGTAGGGGCTGGACAGGGAGGAAAATGTGTAACAATGAATGAATAGAAATCCAAGTTTACTATAAACTTTCATAAAATCTCAATTTAAAAAAATATTCTGGCTTGGGTCAGGTACTCTTTAGTCATAAAAACAAACATACATACATAAATCAGGAAAGGTGTGTGCCAGGATTGTATCTTTTATCCATATTTATTCAATTTGTATGCTGAACAAATCATTGGAGAAGCTGGACTTTATGCAGAAGAATGTAGCATCAGGTTCAGAGGAAGACTTATCAACAATCTGTGTTATGCAGATGACAGAACTTGCCCACTGAAAGTGAAAAGGACTTGAAGCATATGTGGTAGAATGTCAAGGACTACAGCTTTCAATTTGAATTACATCTCAACATCAAGCTAACAAAAATCCTCATCACTGGGCCAATAGGCAACATCCTGATGTTGTGCACCATCAAGTCAGAATGGACTCATTATAGCTGATCCTCCAGCAGGTTTTCAGAGGCAGTAAATCTCACAGGAGCAGAGTGCCAATCCTCCCAATGAGCAGCTGGTGGACATGAACCATATGCCTCTGGGACTGCAGCACAGCTGCTTATCCCAATAGATCACAATACCTCATGATTGATGGAGAAAAGATCGAAGTTGTCAATGATTTCATCTTACTTGGATCCACAATCAACACCCTTGGTGGTGGTTGTTGTGTGCCAGCAGTCAAGAAATCAAAAGATGAGTTGCATTGGGAAACTGGATTCAGAGACCTCTACATGGTACTGAAGAGCATCCATGTCAGTTCAAAGACTAAGAAGACCATGGTCTTCTTCTCAATTGCTTGCTATGCATCTGAAAATTGAACAATGACTAAGAATGACAGAAGTATCAATACCTTCGAGTTGTGGTGTTGGAGAAGAATACTGAATATCCATCTCATGGACTTCCAGGAGAATAAACAGCTCAGATTGCTCCTTGGAGGCAAGAATGGTGAAGTTTGTTTCACATACTTTGGGCATGTTGTTAGGGGGAGCCAGTCCATGTAGGGGGACATCAAGCTGGGAAATGTTGGAGGATTGGGGTAAGAGAGGAAGATCCTTAACAAGATGGAATGAGACAGTGACTTTAACAATGGGCCCAAATGTGCCACGCCTGGTAAGGATGGCACAGGATAGGACAGAGTTCAAAGCTGTGACACTGTGAGTCATAGCTGACTCTATGGTCATAACCACAACATGTAATTGAAATGAACATCACAAAAAAAACCCCAAAACCAAAACCTAAAACAATCACTAGCTATGAGGTTGACATCACATGTCTTTGATCACCATGTCACTTCTGAGGTGTTTTTTTTTTTAAAAAAAGATGTTTGTTATTGTTAATCTAAGTTTAATTATAACACATCTGACAAAACTAAACTAAGGGACCTGCCTGCTGTCACTGAGTTGATTAGCACTTGTGACTTCCCATATGTTTAGCAGGCTGTCAATCTTAATAGGAGCTGATTGCCACACCTTTCTCCCCTGGAGCAGCTGTGAGCTCAACCGACCCATGTCCACGTTTTGGTTAGCAGTGGTCTGCCCCACGGCTCCTAAACTAAGGGATATCCTAGGAATAAATTGCAATATACTTTTAAAAAAATGTCAACATTGGGAAAGATTACAAAAACAAGAAGACTAGACAACTGCTTTAAAATAGAGGCAACTCTAGAACATGAAAATTAAATGCCCATCAACAAATTAATGGATAGAGAAGCTGTGGCATATTCACAGAATGGACTATTACACTGCATTGAAAAACAAGGAACTCATGCAATATTATTCAAAATAGGGGACCCTGGAGGACATTAAGCTGAGTAAAGTATCACAGTCACAAAAGGACAAATACTGCATGGTGTCACTGTTGTAAAACAAGACTGACATAGGGATTGGGGGGAGACTGAGAAAGATGGGTTCAATAATGTATACTGCATTGAAACAGATGAGGGAGAAAACTGTTTAAAAGGGATATGTGATTAGGCATTTTTGTCATGACAGGAGTCCAGAGTGAAGGCTGCATAGTGGAGTGGGGGGCGGGGGATTGTAAAACAAAGAAAGAATTTTTATTTTACTTTTCCAAGAGGGTAGTGTACTAGAGAGGAGGGTTGGGAGAGGAGAAAAGTGCAACAATGAATGAATGGAAATCCAAAAAAAGAAAAAGAAATGCACAGGAAGATTCTAAATTGGATCCTAGATACCACACAGCAAAAAAAATTATGTAAAGAACATTATTGGGACAATTAGTGAAATTTTAATAGGATTTGAATATAAACTCAGAATTAAATAAATGTTAAATTTAAAATTTTATACGTTTTTTAATTTTCTGGTTATGAAGCCAGTATCTTTATTCTTAGAAAATACACAGTTAAGCATTTATGGGTAAAAGGGTGTGATGCTTGCAAACTATTAATAATTCAGAAATATTATATGCATGTATATAGAATAAACATTTATGAAGAAAACAATTATGTAAACGTGATTAAAATATTAAGAATTTGTGTAACTGATGTAATATGGATAAATTCTTTACAGAAATAGTAACTTCTCTGAAAACTTGAAATTGTCTCTACCACCCACCACAGAAGTGAACTTGTTTAAGCCACAAAACCTATCAGGGCTTCTAGAAACTGATTTTGAACGATGTCACTGGATCTCTGGGCTTTGTGGAAATACAGGAGGAGAGAGGGGTGTGGCACCTGGGAAGGCCCCTGCGGGACAGCCAAGTCTTCCCAACCCCAAGGCAAAAGCTGACAGGCTTTAAGAAAGGTTACAGCTAAAACAGTGCAGAGTAGATCAAGATAGTCACTAGAGGGTCTCTCTACACCTGAGCTGCCGCCAATCTAATTCCATTAGAAGATTTAAGGAAGTGCCTCAGAGCCCACTCCTCCAGACTCTCCAGACTCTTTGGCTGCCTGGTGATTTATCTCTCGACGCCCTAAAGGTGGACCTAAAACTTAAATATACCGACTTCTGGGCCGGCCTTCATGGCCAGGTCCCGGGGTTGCTGGACTGGGATTTGGGGGCCGAGTTCTTCCTGGCCTGCACCAACACACACAGGCCCCTGAGCGAGCAGAACCGTGAGTACGGCATGGGGGAGGGGCGGGCCGGCGCCGGGGCTCTTGGAAGCGGCCGAGAGGCCAGTCTGCTCGCCGAGCCTGGGCTCGAGACTTCGGGGCTCCCCTCGAGGTCCGCCAGGCCTGCGTGCAGAATTTCAGGACCTGGAGCCCCCTGGGCTGAGTTCCTGAGGGTCTCCCTCCCCCCCACCCACTTGGCGGACTCAGGAGTAGGGATCTGGCTCCTGCTTCGACTGAAAGCCCCGGAGGGAGGGAACTGGCCTTCGCTGAAATTGTGCAGCTCTCAACTCTGCTTGACCCTCGACTCCCAGGACTTTCAGGATCTTCGCCTCCCCCCCCCGCCCCCGCCCCCCGTGACGCTTAGCACCTTTTGGCGTACTGTATTTTTTTACTGTATTTGAAATGGTCTAACTCATAGGTTCTGTTCATGGCCTGACTCCTAGTTCTTAGTACATTACCTGACAACCCCCCTTCCCCAGGCGCTCAGTATTTGCTAATTGGTAGATCACTAGTGGGCTTACCCTCCCTTTGGCTCTCAAGTGCGGAGAGTTGTGGTAATCACTCCCCACATCTGTGGCTGAATATTGAATTATTAATTTCGTTCTTTTTTCCTATGCCATCCTCACTTTCACTTCCCTCCCCCAATGCCATGTACCAACCCTTCAAGATTTCCAATGCCAGTGGCCATGAATCGGAACCTGCCTGGGAGGCAATTTGGTTTGAATTTTTCTTTTAGATATGTGTACCCTTAAAAACCGTTAGACATTCTTTTCAGTTAACCATGATTTCTGTAAATGTTTACTGCTCTCTCCCACTATTAATTCTTTTTTTCCCCTGAGTGCCCAATGCCTTTTTTCTTTTTTCCCCCTACTAGTTTATTTACAAAACTCAAATACACATTCGAACAAATTCTTTCCATTTCCCTCACCCCCCCATCAAATTGTACAATCCAATGATTAATCCTCCCTCCCCCTGCACATCCACATCCCTCTGCTTCCAGCCTCTCCCAACTCCTCCTAGATCCTTATACTCATTCTACAATAACGTTTTATACAATATTTATCCTTGTGGGACTGAGTTAACTTACTCAGCATAATGCTCTCCAGTGCCTCCCAAGTTAGGTAGTAATTTATAGTTATTGCTCGTGCGTGCTGCATAGTATTCCATTGTGTGAATGTACCATAATTTCTCAATCCTTTCTTCTGTGTTGGACATTTGGGCTGTTTTCATCTTCTTGCGATTCAAATGGCAAACAGACACATGAAGAAATGCTCCAAATCACTGACAATTAAGAGAAATGCAAATCAAAACCACAATGAGGTACCATCTCACTCCAGTAACAATGGCAAAGTTTAACAGGGCAGCTTGTAATAGATGTTGGAAAGGATGTGGTGAGAAAGGATCTCTTATATATTGTTGGTAGGATTGTAAAATGATGCAACCATTCTGGAAAGCAGTTTGGCAATTCCTCAGAAAGCTGAATATAGAAATTGCATATGACCCAGCTATCCCACTACTTGGAATATACCCTGAGAATATGAGAACTGAGGCACAAACTGAGTTTTGTACACCAGTGTTCATAGCAGCATTATTACTATTCTTGAGTGCAGTTCACTTTGTTATAAGCAGCTCTAATTCATCATTTGGACTGCTGCATAATAGTCTATAATATCTTTTACATCTTCATTTCTCTACTAACGAACATTTTTATTACTTTTGCCATCACAATTAGTGCTGCTGAACATTTTTCTGTCCATCCAATCAAGAAATATTTTTTATTGTGATTTTAATGAAAGTTTTCAAAGCAAATTGATTTTCATTCAATCAGTCATAGTTTGTTGTAGGACATTAATTACATATGTAACCACAGTCTTCCCACTTCCTGTGATTTTTCTGTTAATCTTCCTGCCCTTTTCTTGGCTGCTTTCTGAGCTTTATCCATGGCAAATTCTGCCCTTAGGTGTTATGTAGTTGATTATTCTAAGGTGTGGAAGCCTCTCCCGGTATTTACTGCTCACTTTATAAACCTGCTTTATTGTTTGGACCAGGATAGGACGAGGTTTGGATCTGTTGTTAATAGGGTAGATATGAGTCATACTCAACTCTAAGGTGCCTAAAAACAATAGCTGTTTGGCTAAAAGTTGAGTCACAGAGGTGCGTTTTTAATCGCGTTCAAAGAGAGGCTAGAACTGTAATCTCAGCTGTTCCAAAGTCTATCATGCCAGTAAATATGGCCGTTTTTAGGTGTGTGTGGGGTTTTTTTTCCAAATTTTGCTCCTATTTTTTCACCTATTCTGTACAGGATTATCAACTCTGATATCTTTTAGGATGGTTAACAGTGCAAGCTGGGAACCATCTAGTTCTTCTGGTCTCAGGGTCATAGAGGTAGAAGTTTGAGTTCTCTGGATTTGCTGTTTCTATGTCTTTTTGCTTTTCTTCCTTCTTCTTTATTCCAGACATGGAGAGGTTAGCTACACTTTAGAAGATATAGCTTGCCAACTTTAAGGCCCCAGTAATAAATCTTTTTTAAGTGAAAGGGTTCAGGATCTTAGGAATTGGGGGAAGAAGGTGGTGGCAGCAACAGTTTTAAATAGATGAGTCAAGTTGGATTTCATTGGTAACATGATATTTGAGCAGAGAATTGGAAGAGCTGAAGGAATGAGCCAAGAAGTTTTTCAAACAGAAGGTGCAGTTTGTTGGAGAATCTTAAAGAAAATACCTGGAGTGTTTAAGGCCAGTGTGGCTGGATCAAAGTAAATAAAAAGCAGAATCCAGAGGTTGGAGTAGAGAGCAGGAAGGCTTTTAGGTGTCACTTTAAGAACTTTGAGTAAGATGAGTCTGTGTTGAAAGGATTTGAGCAGAGCAGCTGATCAAGTGCTACCTATACTGTCACATAGTAACCCTGTGTTTGGTTTAATGTCCTGCTGTCACTGTCTTCAAGTTTTTTTATAATTTTTAAACAAAGCCCTATTTTGTCATTTTGCACTAGGTTCTGCAAATTATGTAGCTATCCCTGCATGATCTGTGCTATGGATGGATTACTTTGGCCGTTGTGTTGAGGGTAGATTATAGAGATAGAGGATTTAGAGGGGAATCTATACATATCCAGACAAATGTTCAAGTCTTCTCAAAGATACCTCAGAAGGAAAGTCTGATGTTTTCCTTCTGAAAACCTAGCCATTGAAAACCTCATGGGACATGGGTTTTTGGTTTTTTTTTTTCTATAATTATATTTTATTAATTTTCATAAACATGTACAGAGATTTTGGGTTTCCATTCATTCATTGTTGCACTATTCTCTCTACCCTCCTCCCAGTTTGTTTTGTCCAAATGCCACAGTGCTTGTCAAAGCCAGTTCTGATTAATCTTCTTTGTCAGTGTGTCCTTTGCCATTCCCTATCACTCCTCCCTGAGAGAGACTTCACCCTGAGTCATAAGGAAAAGGGGATGGCGTATTCTCTTAGCTACTTCCTGCTGAAAAGGGACGCTGTGGGTTTCAGGGTGAAGATCTTCTCTCACTACTCTAAAGGGCCCCTTTGGCAGTAGGAAACACAGACTATTATGGAGATTGATTTTGGAATTTAGATGCACTCTTATTGATTGTGCTTGGCCATACATGTTCATATCCTTGAAGATGTATCATGGGGGTGTTGCAACCTAGAAGACACAAATTTGACTAACAAGTTATAAGTACATGAGTCCAAAAATTATGGAAAAGTAAAAGAAAAGATTCTTTCATTGTTTTACAAACACTCCCCCAGGTCCCCTCCACCATGTAGCCCTCGCTCTAGTCTCCTGTGATGACAGAAATACCTAGTTATATATCTCTTTTAAACAGTTTTCTCCCTCCTCTGTTTCAGTGCAGTATACATTATTGAACCCATCTTACTCAGTCTCTCCCCAACCCCAAGGACAGTCCCATTCTACAACAGTGGCATCATGTAATATTTGTCCTTTTGTGACTGGGATATTTCACTCAGCATAATGTTCTCCTCTGATACATGTGGAGTAAAGAAAGTTGAGGGTTGGTAGGCAATGATAGAAGCTCTTTCAGGGACAGTCTCTGTGAAATGAGAAGAGGGGGATGACAGGGCAAATGACAACACTTAGGAAGGAGCAGGAGGGTGAAAGTCAGAGAGGTATGGGGGAAGTTGTAGAATATAGTGAAATGATCATCCAGGCAGGCTCACTGCCACCTTCCTGAGAAATTTTAAGGCCCAGGATCCAAAGGCCACAATGGAATCCTAAAATATTTTTATCCTCTTCTCTCTCTGTTCACCAGTTGCTAGATACAGAATCCGGATAATTGAGCCCCCAAGTCTACCTTTGGCCTTAAAACCCAATCCAGATGAAGATGGTAAGTAGAAAGAAGGCTGTTCTCAGATGACATGGAGCTATGGCCTTGAGCTGGAGCCCCAAAGCCAGTGGTGTATGGTGTATAACCTCCTTATTCCCTGCACAGGACCCAATTTTGAGCCTAACTTGTGGATGTGGGTAAACCCCAACATCGTATACCCTCCAGGAGAACTGGAGGTCCTAGAATCTAGAAAGAGGGAGTCTCTGATGCTGTCTGAAGAGGAAGAAGATTCCAGCTGCTCAGAGGCAACTGTGGTGGAGTCGCTGCCACCTTCCTCCGGTGAGCAATCTCCATCACAGAAGCTGTGGGTCTCTTCCCTCAGCAGCCTCAACAACCAAGAGGTAGGAACTTTTGCGGTTGTGGGCTGTAGGCAGTTTGGACATAGGGGTGCCTTAGAGTTCTGAGTTCTAAGGGATGACTCAGGGTTAGTGGGCTCAGAAATTACCTGTGCCCTTGGGTTGGGAAGAAGGTTAGATGGGGGTCCCAGACCACTGACACTTCCTGCCATAGGCCCCCGGAGTAGAGGCTGTGGAGTCAGGACCAGTTCCTACTCTGTGCTCCTCTAGCTCACAGAAGAGGAGGAGGCTGAGGAACAGGACGGCAGATCTGCGGCTCTCCTACCCCTTCACAAAAGGGCCAGGAGGCTTCTGCAAACGAGCAGCCAGAAGGGGCACCTCTGGCCCCGGCCCCCGCTCAATTACTTCCACCTAATTGCCCTGGCATTAAGAAACAGCCCGCCCTGTGGTCTCAACGTGCAGCAGATCTACAATTTTGCTCGGTATGTGCTGGGAAGGGGGCACTCAGGGGAAGGGGAAGGGGCCAGGGACTTGAGTCTGTTGTCTCAGGCCCTAGGCTGTTGCCTCAGTTTCCCCATCTGAGTCTGAGAAGACATCCACATTCCTAGACCTCTTTTTTCCAGGCACAGGATTTAGGTTTACCTGCTCCCACCCAATTTTACACCTTTTAAAAAAAAACCCAACAAACCAACCTTTTATTTTTAAAATCCAACTTTTTCATTATCAATTCTACTTTAAAACTTAATACCACCTGAACCAGGTAACAGTTTCTCTCACTCTTTCAGAATCATTCAATAATTTCCCCAGTTTTTAGCCTAGAACTGTCTGTACTGCCTGGTCAACTCCCTGCACCCCCAGGGGCTGGGTGCCCACTGACAAAGGCAGTGCACTGGGCTTCAAGTCATGCAGAAAGGGGTTCTCTGGCTCTTCCCCAACACCAGGAAGACAGCCTTTGTTGGTGTCTCCTCCTGGGTGGTCAGAGTCCAGAGCACACCCCTTAGGTGGGGGTCCTCTTTGGTTTGGTCTCCTCTGACAGGAGTTGGCTGCCCCAGTTCTGCTTTGTCCGGACTGCTGGTCAATGCCTTAAGCCCCCTTGGAGGGAAGGAAGTGAACATGGGATTGATGAGGGCTGGACTAGAGTTAAGCAGTGAAAGAAGGGCTGAGGCTCCTGCAGTTTGAGAACATTCTTGGGATCTCATAAGAATCGTTCCTCTCCCCAGACAGCATTTCCCCTTTTTCCGGACAGCCCCAGAAGGCTGGAAGAATACTGTCCGCCACAACCTGTGTTTTCGGGACAGCTTTGAGAAGGTGCCGGCCAGCATGCAGGATGAGGCCAGTACACGGCCTCGGTCCTGCCTCTGGAGGCTGACTGCGGAGGGCCAGCGCCGCCTTGAAGAAGAGACCCACACCTTTGATTCCATATGGCTGCGGCGGATCCAGCAGTGCATGAGCCAGCCAGGTGTGAGGCCCTGTGTGCACGTGCAGGGGCCTGAGGGGAGGACATCTAGGAGCCCAGTCACACCCACACCATGGAGGCATCTCCTGTAGGAAGTCTTGGGCCAGGGGCAGGGCAGGAGAGAGGTGAGGGAGTGATGGTAATGGTCTGAGACTCTGGAATGTGCCTTCCTGAGATGAGAGCTCCACCAGCGCAGGCCTTGATGAGGAAACAACTAAGATGCAGTTGGCCCTACTCCAGCCAGCCCCTCAGCACAAGGATGGTGGCCGTAACAATGTGAGAAGCACTGGAACTGGTTATATGCCAAGAGGGTTTCTCTTTTCCCAGAGCAGTTTAAAGAGGCTTCAGAGAAAATGTAGCAATTGAGCCTCCAGAGTGGGAGCAAGGACAGAGAAGTAGACCGCCCACTGTGGGCAGCACTCCTGCCGTGGGGAACGCAGAGGATGACTTACCTTGACATTGTTCTTTTCTTACAGATGTGATGCATTTCCTCTTTGACTTTTAACCACAAGAGGCAACAGTCAGCCCAGGCCTTATTAAAGCCATTCAGCATCACTTCTGTGTGTGTGGTCTTGAGTGAAGAAAGAAGGGAAGGTTGGCCACAAGGGTGCAAATGGGACCCTCCCAGACTTGCTGGCATGTGCTCTAGAATCATTAGGGCAGGGAATCCATACTTTTCTTCAAAAGAGGAAAAAAACCTTTTCAAGATCCTAAAGCTATTCCCGTTTTACTGGCATTTAAGGATAAACTCAGGAAATGGTAGTTTACAGCAGCCAGCCAGCTTAAGACCTAAGGAACTCCAATCACTCATGTAACTGCCATTTGTTAAGCACCTACTGTGTGCCAAGCTCAGAGATGGGACACAAGCCCTGCCCTCAGGGTCTAGAGACAATTTCTGCTCTGTGGCAAGTGCTATAATAGTGGTAAAGATAAATGCCCTCTCACTCAGAGATAAAAATTTAACTCATGATGCCTGGTGATACAGTATGCTAAGTGTTGGACTGGCAGTCAAAAGGTTGGCAGTTCAAACCTACTAGCCACTCTAAGGGAGAAAGATTGAGGAAGTCTCCTCCATTTAGGTTTATAGCCTCAGAAACCCAATGAAGAGACGTCAAGGATCAGAATTTACTCACAAGCAGTGAGTTTGATTTTATAAAACCTAGAGAAGCCCTGGTGCCACAGTGGTTATTGTTCAGATGCTAAATAAAAGACTGGTCGTTAGAATCTACCAGCTAGCTTGTCACTCCACAGAAAGATATGCAGTCTGCTGCCAGCAGATTACCTGCCTGTAGGGTCACTGTAAGCAGGAATCAATCTGACAGCAACTGATTTTGTTTTGCTTTTATGCAACCTGGAAGGAGACTTGGTGGCAAACTAGTTAAGCATCCAATGGCTAAATCTCAAGGTCCATAGTCCAAACCTACCAACTGCTCAGGAGGAGGAAATATCCAAGGGTACACAGCAGCAGTTTCAAAAAGAAGAAAAAACACTGCCATCATTTCAGTTCCAATTCAGTGATGCTGCAGGACAAAGCAGAATTGCCCCATAGGTTTTCTGAGGCTGTAAACTGTAGAGAAGCAGACTGCCTCATCTCTCTCTCTCATGGATTAGAGGGTAGGTTTTCAATGCTGAGCTTTCAGTTAACAGCACAATCAGAGCTTCACTACCAGAGCTCAGGACAAATAAGTCCTGGAAAGAGGGCTAAGGACAGGTTCAGTCCATGATGAGAATCTGCATTTCAGAATATACATGTTAATGAGATTTATACATAATAACCACGTGGGAAGTCTTATGAAAAAGGTAGCTTTTATCTGGGGTAGAAATGCAGATTCTCAGCAAAGGGTGCAGAGGCATAGAAAGTAGGGAGTTTGCTGTCAACCAAAAGGTAGTATCCCTCTGGCAGTTCAAATCCATTAGCAGCTCTGAGGGAGAAAGATGGGCCCTCTCCTGTGTGAATTAGTCTCCAAAAACCCAACAGAGGGTCCGCCATGAATCAATTCCAACTTCATGGCAAGGAGAATGTCTGCAAACAACAGCAGTTGGGAGACTTCATAACATCTCCAGTTCTGATCTGCTGACTACAAATCCAGGGGTTTCTTCTACACCCTCAGCATATTAGTCAAGATCAGGGGTCCCCAGTTCTCCTCACTTCTTACTTGCTCACTTCCACTACTCCCTTGATAATTTACTAGAATGAATCACAGGAGTTAAGGAAAGTGCTATGCTATCAAATACAGTTTTATTATAGGGGGCTGGGAGGTGGGGAGTAAAAAATGAGACCCAAAGGTGAAAGTGGAGCTTCACGTCCAAAAAGGGACAGAATGTGTTTACTTCCTGGATACATCAGCATCCCTGAACAATCAGAAAATAGAAGGTACTTTGTGCAGAGCCTTTGCCAGCAAGTGGATTCTTACTCTAACCCTATAGACGTCTTCACATAGACATAGTCGACCTCCACATTCATCCCTTCCTCCTGAGTTATTAGTGGAATAAATTGGTCAGCCTGGCTATCTAGGAAATTCCAGGATTTTAGAGGCTGTATTTCAAGAACCAAGGATAAAGATCAGCTTTAAAATAAATACATTATCTCTGCAATTACAAACCCCATCAAATGTGTTATTCAACTTCATTGACTGGTGAGCAACCTTGTTTCCTCTACACCTCACCAATTCACCTTCCTTGGATGATTTTAAAGCTATCCCTAGAAAACATTACCCCATTATCATACCCAAATATTGGTCCCATTTTCTAATTTTTAAAATAGCTTTTATTTAAAGTGTGATCCACTGCATTAACTTGGTATGCCTCTTAAATATTCTATAAGTTCCCCCTCTGCTCTTCTCTCAGTCCTTGCAATTTGTTGAAGAAAGTGGGTCTCTTTTCCTCTAGAGTTTCCCATACTCTATTTTGCTGATAATCTCTCCATAGTGGTGTCTTAGTTAAAAGGCTTCAAACAAATTCTTCCCATTAAGTCATGGCCTATGAAGAAAAATCAGAATGGACCCAAGTTTGTAAAATTTAAGTGTACTGGGATAATAACTGGAACCAAGAAAATTAGGAGTCAATACCCTGGTGGAAATTTGAACCCCTAAGAAAACAAGGACAGCAGCATGCATGATGCAGAGCAACCAAATCTCTAATAAGCAGTCTGAAACAATGCTCTGCTCAAAGACGGCTCCAATTTGAATGTCATTCTCTACTGTCTTAATCCCATCTCCTGCATCAGGTATGCTCACTACCCCTCTTCTGAGTTTTTAATCTTAGGGCTTAATTTTCCCCATCCCAGTTCTGGTATGCTCACATTTTACAAATTCATGTCGCCACTAAGTTCAAAGCTCTGCTTTTATGTTTCTCTCCAGTATTTTCTCTAAATTGATTGTGGGATCTGAAGATGTGATTAGATTTAGGTATGATCTATTTCATCATGAGCGCTGGTGGCTTAGTAATAAGGAATTGTGCCGCCAATCCAAAGGCATGGGGTTCAAATCCACCAGCTGCTCTGGGAAAGAAATGGGCAGTCTCCTATGTGATGTACAGCCCCTAAAAGCTTTCTGCAGGGTCAACTACAAGTGGGTTCTGACTATGGCACAAAACATCAATGTATTTCATCATGGCCCACACATCTGTCATGGTTTTAGTAGTGTTTGACGGTTTCCTAGATCCATTAAGAGTTGAAAATTCTAAAGGGGGAAGGATGATCTTATTCTATCTTCCATTTCTTACCTGAAATAATGCTAAGGGGAAATCTTTATAAGTTTGTACAAGAGGTCCAGTTTGCACAAGAAAGGCAGATAATGTTTTATTTTTTCCCTTTATTCAATCCATTTAAACAAAGTTGACACCCTATCAGTGAGGAGGTTTTTTAAATTGAGCTTAAATAAAGGAAGTAGGTGAATAAGGCAAAAAGAAGGGAAATCCTTCATGAAATACATTGACAGCTAGCCCCTCCTGATGACATATCAAAAGTGTGATATGAAGGTTCATCATCCTTGCTTCTAAGAAGCACCCTGGTTGCAATATAAGGGCATCGTAAGTTGGGGCAGGTAACAACAGGACCCTTGCAGGTCAAAGTAACTGTCTACACAGTCCCCAAAACAACACCATCCAAAACCCCACCACTGCCACTGAGTGAATTCTAACTCAACCAAGACCTGGAGAGAGAACTGTCCTATTGGTTTTCCAGGGCTGTAAACCTTTATGAGTACAGACTGGACTGCCACATCTTTCTCTTGAGGAGCAGCTGGTAAATTGAAACCACTGACCTTTTGGTTAGCCCAATATTTAACCCACTGCATCAGCAGGCTCCTCTACAAAGTCCGCAGCCACAACACCCTGCCAATAAGTTCATTCTGATTCATAGCGTTCCTCCATCTTTACAGAAGGATATTGCCGCCCATGATTCTCCCACAGAGTAGCTGGTGGATTCAAGTCAACCTTTTGGCTAGAGCAGCCCAATACATTATCCACTATGCCGCTAGGGTTCCTTCTATACCAGACAGAAGGAACAAAGAAACAGTGGGCTCTTACACCCCTGGTACCAGCAGTCCAGTGAACCCCAGCTGGAAGCAGAGAATACTAGGAAGATGTTTATCTTTGTTTTATTGACTATGCAAAGGCATTTGTGTGGTTCATAACAAATTATGGCTAGCATTGAGAAAAAAGGGTATCTTAGGCCACTTAACTGTGCTCATGTAAAATCTCTACTTAGTCCAAGAAACAGTTGTTCAAACAGAAAGAGAAAATACTGCATGATTTCAAATCAGGAAATGTGTCAGAGTTGTATTCTTCCTCTAGAATTTACAGTAATTTACAGTCTCAGGATTTACCTTCATGTAAGAATATCAAACTATAAGCCCTGGCTCATAATTTTTTTCTTTTTCTTTTCTTGTTGTGTACGGTCGAATAGAATCCAACTGGCACAGTGCCCCTTGTTCTCCGGCAGAGTATCTGGTGGATTCGAACTATGTGCCTTCGGGATTGTAGTGTAGCTTCTTTGCCACTAGGCCACCAGAGCTCCCTTGGCTCATAAATTTTAAATGTCACAATTACTTGCTATGCATCAGAGAGCTGGACAATAACTTAGGATGACAGAAGAAGAATCTATGCCTTCCAACTGTAGTGCTGGGGAAGAGTCCTGAACATACCATAGACTGCCAACAATAGGTCTGTCTGGTGGAGGGTGGAACCAAGTCTCTCCTTGGAGGCTAGGATTTTGAAGCTCCATCTCATATACTCTGGGCACAAGGCCAGGAGAGACCAGTCCTGGAGAAGGACATCATGCTCAGAAGGGTGGAGGGATAGCGCAGGAGAGGAAGACCGCAGAAGAGATGGATTGATGGAGTTACTAGGGCAAGGAGAGTTGGTGTGTCGGAATTAGTGAGACTGGCTCAGGAGGGGGCAGGGTTCAGAGCTGCTGTACGTAGGGTCTCTCTCTATGAGTCACAGGTGACTCGACGGCACATAACAAAAACAACAGTCTCAAGAAACCCACTGGTGGGTAGGTTA